ATTCTATTCCATTGGTCTATGTGTCTGTTTTTGTGCCAGAGACTATAATATTTAAAGAAATGCTACTTGCTGAGGACTTTTCAAAAACTGACAAAAGACATTAAGGCCACACTTCTAATAAGCCTTACAGACCCCAAGCCAGATGAATAAAAAAAGAAAACCTAGGAAAATCACAGTTAAAACTGCTGAAAAACCAAAGACAGAAAAAAAAAATCTTAGCAAACAGAGAATAACACACTACCTTAAACACACACACACACACACACACACACACACATGAAACAATGGAAGCCAGAAGCCAATGGAATTAAATCTTTAAAGTGCTGAAAGAAAGTAATTGCCACCCAAGAATTCTATATTTGGTGAAAATGTGCTTCAAAATAAGGGTACAATAAAGATGTTTTAAGAAAAGCAAGAATTGAGTGGACTTATCACCAGCAGACCTACACTAAGTGAAATACTGAAAACGAGATCCCAATAGAATAATGATGGTGCTGGAAGGAAAAGCCATGAAAAGAGTAAACAGGTAGATAAATCTAGAATAATATTAAATATAATAATATCATGTGGGATTTACATTATATATAGAATTTAAAAATATATATCCACAATAGCACATAATATGAGGAAGAGATAAATACAGCAAAAGTGTCATAAGTTTCTTACATTGCCCCCAATATAGTAAAACAGGGAAGACTGTAATTAGTCAGAGGTGCATGTTATAGTTTCTGGCTTATGCACTAAGAAATAACAGGGATAACAAAAAGAAGCTATAACCAGTAAGCTAAAAGAGGGGAAACATGGAAGATACAAGTATTTGAGTAATGCAAAAGAAGGGAAGAAAGGAGAAAAAAGAGTGAAGAACTGATGGAACAAATAGAAAATGTTGAAAAAAATCAGTAATTACATTAAATGTAAAGAGATTAAATACCTCAAGTAAAAGGCAAAGATGGCCACACTGTACAAAAATAAAAAGCTAACTATATATTTCTTACAAAAAACATACAATAATTACAAAGATGGAGAAAGGTTGAAAGGATGCAAAAGATATATGTCTTTTAAACATTAACTAAATGAAAGTTTGTGTGGCTGTATTAATAACAGATAAGTATATATTAAGGCAAAGGCTATTATGAGAGATAAAAAAAAAGGGTATTTCCTAATTATCAAAGGGCCAATTTATCAGGAAGATAATGATACTAGATATATGGACTAATAACATAATCTCAGTATATCTGCAGTGGGGGCTCCGTCCTGATTTGCTTACCGGGTCAGGGTACCTAATCCCATAGCTGTTGTGAGAATAGCTGTTGGCTATTTATGGCTTACAGCTACCCTTTCTTCAAAGTATGCGATTGGCTGAACAGGAACTGTATCATACCACCTCCTGGGTGGTAGTGAGGGTCCACAGCAAATGACTGACAGTGAGGTACAAAAGGGTAGTTTTCTTGCCTAAAAATGAGACCAACTTTATGATGCAATTTGTGCTCCAGGGCTCCTCATGGGATCAGACGGAAGCTGGGCTCCAAATGAATCCACTCTGCCTCATTGCTTCATTCGGGTTCCTTCACTTCCTTTCTCCTAAGAGCATTCTCTGAATTAATCATATGAAGAGCAGGACTTCTTGTTTCTCTGCTTCTAGAGAACCTGATCAAACTCTAAGAATGGGCTTCTAGAGTGGCATTACTCACTGGCTGAATGGAACCAAGGGCTCCATCACTGGTGGCAGATTGAATATTGTTAGTCCCATACATGTTATAGCAGTGCAATTGCTAAGACTTGTGGTGAACTGAGGCAGAGTATATGTGGAAGGTGACAGTGGTGGCCATGAGAATGGACTGCTCAGATCTCCTTCAGGAGAGCCTGCCGAGAAGAACAGATTGGACTGATAGCCATAACCGCTGCCCCTCTGGATCCACCATCATGTTCTTACCACGCCCATGTTTCTCCCAGGGTGCTCCTAAGCAATGACTGAGGATGGCAATGGTACTAGTGCTGGCCCATTCCTGCCTGACAGGGGGCTCCTCTCGTGGGTGACTAGTTCAGGAATCTCTCTCATTCTAACCAAAACTTTCCCCAAACTGTGCTGCAGTCTGAGGCTCTTCCTACATAACCGTCCTTCCTTCTCTCTCCCTTCATGGATGTCACACTTATATTAAGGCCTAATGATTTTCCCTGCCTCCTCTTGGCTCTCTTGCCTTTACCTTTCATATGTATCTCCTCCAACAAATCTCTTGTACATCTTGGTGTCTGCTTCTTGAATTGTCACAGGGATGCACTATACTAGCTGGTACAATGTTGCTTGTGTTTGAGAAGCATGGAGAAATAATAACTATAAGGACTATAGAATTGGGATGGCTAAGCTCCAGGTATAGTTGAAGAGATAAAATGACAGGCTCAAATATATTAATCTGTAATTTAAAGTAAAGTGATAAGGTTAGAGAACCTTCTTAGGAACTTCAAAGAAACCCTCATTTCCTATGGCTGAAGGTCAGAGGGAGCTGAAAACCAGGCACACAATTTAATTGTTAGCAGGGCAAAACTTCAGAGAAAACTGAATATATTCTATGCTAAAGTCAGGACTCTGAGAAAGGGTGCTGAGTCTGGAACGGAATACCTGCCAAGACTCACTTGAGAACCTTGAATCCCTAGATTATCCTGTATCCTCTGGCCAAGTGGCAAGTGGCTTAGCTTATTGGCCAGGGGCCTGGAAGAAGCAAGGTGCCAGGACTGGAAGATTGGGAGGTCTGGGGAAGGAGCATGCAGATAGACCTATGGGCGCAACACACTAAGTATGAAGATCTTTTGATCACAAGCTAATGGCCACTAGAGAATGTCCACAGCAGAAGTGACACTAAACAACCAAGTGGAAAGGACGATTTGGCCAGTAGATATCAGCCAGCCTCTGTTATTGGCCACCCAGTGCTTAGACAATGGGCTCATGAACAGAATGGCTATGTTGACAGAGATGGGGGCTAAGCAAGGGCCAAATAGCATGGGCTCCCTCACCAATGCCCATCTAGCTACGCCCACTGCCAAATGTCTGACCTGGCAACAATAGAGAGACCAATCCTGAGCTCTAGATATAATCATACCTTGAGGAAACCAATCATCTTTCTGCCTTAAAAAAGGGCAACATTTCATCCTGACTTGGACTGACCCATATTCTGAGTAAGGATTTGCTTTTATTGCCCACAGAGCTGTAGCCAGCATCAATATCCAAGGGCTCAGAGTATTTGATCTACTGATGTGGAATCTTCCACTGATGTGGAATCTTCTTTATGGCAAAGGAGATATGGTGGGGGACACATGACCATGGGATTCAGTCTCTGTGTCACATACTCCACCATCCAGGAAGCTAATAGCCTGATAGGCTGGTAGAAGGCCTTGCTGAAGGTACAGCTAAGGTGTCAGCTTAGAGTTGATGGCCTGTGAGGATGAGCTCTATTCTTCAGGATGGAATGTACATCTTAGACCAATGCCCACCATTTGGTGCTGTGTTGCAAACAAGGAATATATTGGTCTTAGAGCCACAGAATGAAAGTATGAGTGTCACCACTCACCAGGATGCCAACTTATCCACTTAGGGAATTATATTTCCTTTCTTGGCACCTTTAGGCTCTGTAGGTGCAGATTTTCTGGTTTCCAGAGTGCATATGCTTTTACCAGAAGGTGCAATAAAAGGCCTTTAAACTTAATGCTTTGGCTACCATTTCGTCACTTGGGCTCCTCATACTCATAGACCAGCAGACAAATAAAGGAGTTATTATATTGGCAGGACATCATAATGCTATACATAAGCTGCTATATAATAAGGCAGATAGGAATATTTTCGGCAGTCAGATGATCCATTAGGGCATATCTTGGTACTCCCATGCCCGGTTTTAACAGTAAATAAGTAAAGACAGCAACCACAGCCTGATAAGGTCATGATTACGCGCACCTCTTAAAGATGAGGGACTGGGTCATTCCACAAATAAATCATTTAGACCAGTGGAGGTGCTAGCCATACATGAGGGAAATCTAGAATGGATGGTAAAGGAAGGAGATGTTGATTGTTATTATGTCCTTGGGACCAAATGTAGCAATGGGAGTTTTCATTGTCCAATTAACCCTCCTCCTACAAATTTTCCTAGAAATTGTGACCAGTCAGAATCCTGTAGAAGCTATACCTAAATGGAGCGAGTTTAACGTGAAAAACAGGTAGATCCCAACATTGTAAGGGGTAGATTGTAATGGACGTTGTTGGTGCCTCACTCAGACCTTGTCTGCAAGCTGCCATGATAGTTACTGGCTGCTAAAGGTTCACAGGTGCCCCTTCTCCAGAGAGTGCTGCCTCATTGGGCTAGGAGGTTACACTGTGCCACAGCCAATGACTTACTGATACAGGAGTATAAAAGGCCAGCCCCCTTGCCTCAAGATGGAATCAATTTCATGCTGTAATTTATGCTCCAAAGCTCCTCACAGAATCAAAATGAAGCTGTCTAGTCAGGACTACATCCTTGCTTGGCTCTTTTCTGCTGTCCTATCTGCTCTCCTCATTCCCCTTCTTCTGAAGGCACTCCCTCCCTCAATAAATCACTTGTGCAGAGTACTGCCTTCTCAGGCTCTGCTTCTAGGGAACCCAACTTAAGAAAAAATGTAAAGGGGCGCCTGGGTGGCGCAGTCGGTTAAGCGTCCGACTTCAGCCAGGTCACGATCTCGCGGTCCGGGAGTTCCAGCCCCGCGTCAGGCTCTGGGCTGATGGCTCAGAGCCTGGAGCCTGTTTCCGATTCTGTGTCTCCCTCTCTCTCTGCCCCTCCCCCGTTCATGCTCTGTCTCTCTCTGTCCCAAAAATAAATAAACGTTGAAAAAAAAAATGTAAAGAAAAAACTGATGGATTTAAAGGAAAGCAGACAAAGCAATAATCATAGAGATTTTAACACACCTCTCTCAATAACTAATGGGACAAGAAAACAAAAATATCAGTAGGAATATGGAAGATTTGACTATCATGGTTCTCTGGTCACAGTGGAAATAAGTTAGAAATCAATAACAGAAAGGTAACTAGAAAATGTTTAGTTTTAAGCAATAATCCATAGATCAAAGAAATCATAATGGAAATTTGAAAATATTTTGAAGTGAACAGAAACAATTAACTACCTATCAATTTGGGAAGAAGTGTCATTAGAATCCATGGCTGCTACATAGTAAATGTTCTATCTTAAGTTGCCTAGAACCAAACACCATTTAACAGCATGAGACAGAAAGTTCATATTGCCAGCTTAACCATGACTGGTTGAAACTTCGTTTACTTCCACCAGATTATTGCTAGCTAGTAAATCAACAACCTGATGAAATAATTTCCCCATGGGTGAAAAGACAAAAAAACTCAAATCAAGAAAACTCTGAGGAACTGGTGTCCATAATGAGAACAGCTTTGCTATTAGAGGGACTGCTCTGGACTTAACTCTTTTATGACAACCAAGGCACAAATACATAAGGAGCAAGCCTGCAGGCAAACTTCCATGTGGTACCTTTCCCGGATATTTCTTTTCAAAGCTCCATGTAAGTGGCTGCTTAGAAACTTCTGCCCAACAGGCCATGATAAATAAATGTTTTACACTCACTCTTCTTGGTATGATAATTTTTCTCATATTAACTAGAAAGATGTATTTGGAATTCAGCTTCTATTAATTACCCCAATGTCAGCACACATGAAAAAGTTAGTGCTTACGACTACACTAAAAAAATAAATGAATTGGGGTGCCTGGGTGGCTCAGTAGGTTAAGTGGCTGACTTTGGCTCAGGTCATGATCTCACAGTTCGAGAGTTCAAGCCCTGCATCCGGCTCTGTGCTGACAGCTCCAAGCCTAGAGCCTGCTTCTGATTCTGTGTCTCCTTCCCTCTCTGCCCCGCCCCTGCTCATGCTCTGTGTCTCTCTCTCTCAAAAATAAATAAACATTAAAAAAATAAATGAATCAGCTTATATGACATCTCTGTAATTAATCAGAGAAAATTAATAATTTTATGATGTTTTCAGTAAAAACAATGACCTCAGTATACAGCTACAACCTATAAACCTCCTGGCATTTATATTTCTAGCACTCCAGATAATATTGTATTACCAGTTGATGTTGAATATTTTCATGCCGTTGCTTAAGAAGTTCTTCTGTCCTCTGCAAGAGGCCGAATTCAGCTTTAAATTCAGCTATTATTTGATGCTTCTTTTTGAAAACTGTACTCTTGCTTCGAAGTTTACTGACATATCGTTTGAACTGTAAAAGAACACAATATGTAACATGAATATAAAAGTAGTTGCTAAATATATTAACTTCAATGTATTGGAAACATTTTATTTTCTACTGTCTAACATTTGTGTCACGAGTATATAATAACTTAGTTTCATTAGAAAACTTGATAAGACTAACTGCTCAATTAAAATATTTTGTGTAGGTTTTAATTTTTGGACCCATCTAAATGTTGTAAATCCTTATGTAAAAGCTGTTCATTTGGGGCTTTACAAATAAGGGTTTAAAAAACCAGAAACTCAACCCTATTAAAAAAAAAGGTTAAAAAAGGAGGAGGAGGAGGAGGAGGAGGAGGAGGAGGAGGAGGAGGAGGAGGAGGAGGAGGAGGAAGAGGGGGAGAAAAAGTAGGAAACCAATTCTGGCTGTGATCTTACCATGATATCTCTTGCATACTGTACTATTTTGGATGTACTACATGTACTACATCTATTGAGATTAATATGGCCAATCAGAATAGTCAAAACCTATAGCTACTATTTATCATTTAAAGAAGTGTACTGTGACCGTATACACTAAGAAGCATCTGAGACATTGGAATGAAGCCCATCCCAAACCTTAAAAAGCTAAGAATATTCCAGGTTAGTGGGAATTTACAGTTGCTTAATTCAGCTGTCTACCGACCTTTATACCAAAGGTATAAAGTTATAACTACTCTAGCGGAAAGCTCCCCACTATTAAGTAATACCAACTATAGTTTGGAAAAAGCAAATGAAAATGAATAGTAATTACAGGGATTCATTTGATAAGCTCTATTTACTAACTATCATGTATTAGGCACTGTGCCAGACATTGAGAATACAACTCTAAACAAGATACTCAGAAGTTCTGCCCTCACCAAGCTTAAGGAAATAGTGGTGAAAACAAACATTGAACTGATGTTTACAACCATGGTTGAACATTATGAAGGTGTCCGGAGAATAAATAACAGGAGTTTAACCTGGGTTGGGATGAAGGTAGGAAAGGTGGGCATTGGGATTTAGGGGAAGTGGATTATGGCAAGCTTCCCAAAATAATTACATTTGAGCCAAGACTGAAGAAGTAAGAGTGTGTTGTTAGAGGAAGGAGGAAGAGGCAAAGAGCATTCCAGGTAGAGGAAACAGCAGGTGTAAAGATTCTGGCTCATTAAAAGTGTTGCTTGACATAAGAAGCAAATACCAGAAGCAAATGTGAGAAATTTCTGGTATTTCTGAAACAGAACATAATACTTAAAAAAAATTACTTCCTCTTATGTACCATTATACTAATAATTTTCAGATTCTCTTACTACATAGAATAATTTTTCTTCCTGCTTTATCCTTTTATTAACTACATTTTTCAAAAAATTCCAACTAAGAATTTGGCCTGTTATATTTAAGCACATTACTTCAAAACAAAAGTAAGCTCCCATTTTACCTAATACAAGATAATTCTTTAAGAGTCTTAGCCTTTTTATTTTTTTAATTTTAATGTTTATATTTGAGGTAGACAAAGTGCGTGAGCGGGGGAGGGGCAGAAAGAGAAGGTGACAGAATCTGAAGCAGGCTCCAGGCTCTGAACTGTCAGCCCAGAGCCCAATGAGGGGCTCGAACTCACGAACTGCGAGATCATGACCAGAGCGAAGTTGGATGCTTAACCAACTGAGCCACTCAGGCACCCCTAGAATCTTAGCCTTTTTAATACTCAGTCCTTCTAAAGGCTAACTTGAGAGGAGAGTGATAAATAATTTTACAAATAATAAAAGTCATGAATTACTGAAATTTTGGAAAACAGAAAAAAGGATAAAATTCACTCAAAGCCATTATCCTATTCTACTATCCTACTAAGCTCTACTACCATGTTGGTATTTTTCCTTCTAATTTATAAGGCTAAACATGAGGGCAATAATTCTAAATTGTAAGGTATAAAATAGGAAGCACAACATTTCTAACATTTAGGTGATTTTTTCTTTGAAGACTTGATTGATTTTTCAGTACATAAAGAAAGTCCTCAAAAATAGTAAGATTAAAATTTCTTCACAAAAACATAACCTCCTAGGGGCGTCTGGGTGGCTCAGCTGGTTAGGCGTCTTGACTTTTGATCTCACATTTCCAGTGTGAGCCCTGCACTGGGCTGCACACTGTCAGCGTGGAGCCTGCTTGGGATTCCCTCTCTCCCTCTCTCTCTCTGTCCCTCCCCTGCTCACACACATACTCTATTTCTCTCAGAATAAATATACTTAAAAAAAATAACCTTCTAATTCCTAGTTTAGACTTTTTAAACTTGACTTAAACTCTGAAAGAAATGAAGAACCCACTGTGTTTTAGAGGAAGGAAGTTCAAAATATTTTTCTATCTATGATTTAGTTTTAATGGTAAGGAATCCAGCCCACACACAGCAAATTATCAATAGCTGGATTACAGGAATGGTTTAAAAATTTAAGTCATACCAATGTACCTAGAGTCTAATAACTTGCAATTTTTCCTTTTAAAGAATAAACGTGTAAGCCTGCCATAACCACAGACTCAGAATCCCTAGAGTAACTATATGTTCTATTAAAAGTGTCCTGGGCAAAGTGCCCAAAGTGAAATCAACCCTATTCATCTGCTATCTTCTGTAATCTAGGCCAATTTTTCCCTTCTTTATCTTGCTGTGCTCCAGAATTATTTTTAAAAGCTAAAAGCTATAAATATTTTTGGTGGAAGAACAAACCCACCAATTACTCAATGTGCTCTATGCTGATTGGTTACTATTTGACATTCACTGGACAGACTACCTAAGTAAGGGAAGGGTAGTTTTGGCCAGATTAATGATGGTTATATACAATTAAGCAATAGGTGGCCATCAAAGCACTGTAAGGGACCCACTACTCTGGATGAATTAGAGGAAAGAAAATACATTATCCATGTTTTTCTTCCATTGGACATTTTTTCTCACTATCATTTGGATTTTAGATTATTTCTGAATTTTCAAACTATCACAAAAAACCCGGATGAATATATTGAAGCTAAATCTTCAGACACATTCTTAATAATTTCTATAGGACATATTTTCAGAAATGGTAAGAAGGAAGTAGGATTTTGATAGATTTTGCCAAACTGCCCTTCAAAGGCTATTTATAGTACTTTTAATAATTGTCAGTTTGATAATTAAAATGGTATTTTACTTTTTATCTGCATTTATTAAGGAAACTCACTTTTTTGTCATGTTCATTATTCATCCGTGGGGATTAAAAAAATTATTTGCCTTTGGCCCACTTTTTTTTTTAAATTTTTTTTTTCAACGTTTATTTATTTTTGGGACAGAGAGAGACAGAGCATGAACGGGGGAGGGGCAGAGAGAGAGGGAGACACAGAATCGGAAACAGGCTCCAGGCTCTGAGCCATCAGCCCAGAGCCCGACGCGGGGCTCGAACTCACGGACCGCGAGATCGTGACCTGGCTGAAGTCGGACGCTTAACCGACTGCACCACGCAGGCACCCCTTGGCCCACTTTTTTATTGGAGTTTTTTTCTATAATTTATTTTTTTTATAATTTATATCCAAGTTAGTTAGCATATGGTACAACAATGATTTCAGGAGTAGATTCCTTAAGTCCCTTACCCATTTAGCCCATCCCCCTTCCCACAACCCCTCCAGCAACTCTCTCTTTGTACTCTGTATTTAAGAGTCTCTTCTGTTTTGTCCCCCTCCCTTCTCTTATGTTCATCTGTTTTAT